TAGGCCCTGCCCCTTAAAATCTGATTTTCAGTGAGCACAGAGAAACTTTCCAGTTTTAGCAGATTAATGTGAAAACATCCTTCTAGTGTCAAACTCTGCACAGACATCATTCAAACAGCACCCTGTAGGGACAAGAAGAGATTTTTTTTTTACTGGAGGGAGACTTAAAGATTTTTTTTTTTTTTACTGTTTTTTTACTGAACTTTGGGGCGATGAAGCAATTATTGACTGAGATGACAAAAAAGTAACACAAGTTTGAAGACAAGAACAAAATTAAGAGAGGAGTACACACAGATAGATCAAAAACTGCTGGGTGAGGAGAGGAAATATATGAACAGGATGTAAAGTGCATGGGGATTTTCCCTCCGCTCTGCACATGGCTCCTGAGAATCACTGGAGCCTTTCACACCCTTAATCATCTCTAGCTCTTCTCTTGCAAAAACTGTTTAATAAATGACAGAAATTAGGAGATTTTCCCTCCTTCTTGGACACAGTATGAAAAAAAACACAGTGAGGCAGTGCACTGTCTGCTGTTTTAGAGGTATTTTTTTTGTAGGGTACTTTACTATCATCCAATACAATTGTATTACTTAGTGATCCCATTCATCTGGTCTCATTCTCCTTACATCCCCTGTTCCAGTCAATACTAAGTGATCATAATGTGTTTAGGTCATTGTTAAGGAGGAAATTGTGCAAGCTCCAAGCAAATCTCATTGTGATAATCCAAAAGAAATGGCTGAAAAAAAAAAGCTCTTTTACATTTGGGTTGACTCAATAATGGCAAACTTCCTGTCAGCGATGTCAGCAACTTCACTATCACAGTACTACAGCAATGTCACATTAGTGCATAAATGCATTTTTTTCCCATATAATGCATTGTGAGATAAAGCACACAGAGCCGCAGTGGCTGCTTTGCACAGATAACCAAAAAAACGACTGCAACATTTATTTTATGCTGAATGTGCCCCTGCTTTTTCTTCTCCCTCCAACTTCTTCATCCTCACCTCCCACTCCCGCTATAATCTGAGTCAGTCAGACTCATGTCTGACACGTCATGAACGCAGTGAGCTGATTTAAGTGAAGACGACATGCCAGGAGGTTCCAGGCCACAAACCAAATCTGCGTCTGATATGTTGCGGCTTTTGCAAATTGGACTGTGGAGAGGACGGAACTGCGGGGTGTCCTTCCCGTAACCCTGGTGAATTAGGCAAACCTTTCAATTTGGATCGCCATCATCATCATCACGGCACCTCTGCTGTCAGTGCTAAGGTATTAATCTCTATCATAATGGTGACACGGCTGGGATCAACACAGTACATTGTTGGATTATATTACATGCAATCATTTCTAAAATAAGGTGACTTAATTAAAAAATAGTGACCTTTTTTTGACATTTTTGACATAAGCCTTACTTCACCACTATCACCACTGTTTCAGTTCTAAAATTGACAGATAAGTGTTGATTTAACTGATGCAATGGAAGGTTAATTCACACTGTTTGTGAGACACAATGTAGTTTAATTAAGTTGTGAAATAAAACATTCACAAAAACACATTTCCCATAAGCAACGTATCAAAACAAAATAAAAACTCTAATGGAAACTGCAGATTGAAACTTAAACACTGTTGTCTTGCCTCTGTGACCATGTTTGTCACTGAGTGAGAAAGCAAGCACAGTGATGGCGGAACACAACTCACATCCTGTCTCTTATAATATTCTGAAAGGGCAGGGAAAGCAGAGGGCCCAGAAAAGTTACTAAAATTAATAGCTGTGGATTTGGGGATGGGCCCAAAGAGAATACCTATGTACACAGCCATGGAAGTAGGGGGCCTGAACATAGCATCCCCTCAGAATTGCTGCCACTAAGAACAGGGTTTCTGGAGGTTTCAGCGGGTTCAATTTAAGATCTATTTTATATCCACACTGGCAAAAAAACTACTAAGGATATGAAGGAAAATTGTTATTGGTTCCATGTTGATTTGTTTTGTAGTTTTTGTGACTGAAGAATACAAATTTAACAAGTAACGTTAAAAATCTATTTTTAAGACCTTTTAAAATCCTATCCTATTTTGTCTTGAAAGCAGTACATGAGACAAATAATCTGTTCCTTGCTTGTTCTGAAAGACACTTTGGGTTGAAGGCTTGAAGACAGTTGATTGTTGAGTCACATTAAGTCTCATGGAAATGAGACTCAACAATCAACTATCTTTCGTGGCTCTGATTGGTTGTTTTCATTCAGGCCGGGTGGATTCTTGCAAATATTAGGAAAGCTACAAGGAGTCAGAGAAACCAGATTTTTAATTTAATTTAAATTTAATTTAATTTTATAAAAATTACCTACTATGCATCATCTTTGTAAGACTCTGTAGACACCCTGAAGAATACGTTTACTGCTTAAACAACAACAAAACTGCTGTAAGACTGTCTTTTTAACTATTGCCCATAGTTCCTGGGAGGCATCACAGCATCTGCATCGCTTTGAACGTGGTTTTCCAGTGAAAGGTCAACGCAGGTCAAGACAATTACCCTCTGTATGCCATGAGCACAGTCACTGTCACCTCACACACCTCTATAAAATAAAAAATATGAAAAACAAAATAAATAAAGGTCTCTTACCTGTCCTGTGACTGCTCCTCATACATTCTCTCCTTTCCCTCTTTGAAGAGCCGGATGGCCCGTTTGGATTTCTTCATAAGGCTATCGATGTAGATTTTAAAGTACTCATTCTCACTGAGCTGTGTGAGTCTCTGGTTCTCCTCATATTTGCCCAGTATAAGCCGCAGGTGCTGGTAGGCATCTGGTAAGATATCCAGAATGTATGGTGGACTGTTTTTCAGCTGGAGTCTGGGATTTTGGCAGAGGCGAACCTGTGGCAAAGACAGTGGTGCCAGAATGAGTTTCAAAGTTGGGGGTGGGGGTAGGTGGGGGGCATTCAGCTTTGGATGATGTAACACGCTACAACAAAAATATGGTGAGAAATCAGTGGGTGTCAGTTTAGCCAGGAAAGTCATCCATCCTCTGGGGGCCCTCGGACTAGTTTGTGCTTGTGGCTATCCTAGAGGTCACACTAGCTCTCTGGTCTCACTGCAATGAAATGGCTACTATGGGGACTGACATCATCACAGATGAATACAATCATACTCACTTGATCCACAAGAGTTTCAGTTGTCTAGCCATACCCAATTAATGCAGTTCCCATACTGTTTATGGACCCCAGTATACAGAAATATTTAAATACAGCACGCAAGAAAAACACATAAAACTGCATAAGATTAGCATAAAATGGTCTGTAAAGTATAAAGGGGAGACTCATCATATCTTGAAGTCAGAGGTGATTCCTTGAATGATCCCTTTCAAAATAGCCATTTTTGCCATTGTTTTTCCATCAGCAAAATTTAGCCTAACTTTGGAGCGTAATTTAGCCCCCTACATGCTAGCATTACATGGTTGACAATGGATGCCTTAAGTCTTCTAGTTTCATACAATCTTCATTCTAGCTTTAAAACTGAGTTGTGCAGCCTCCAAAAAACAGTAATGTCAGCAACTGACATATTAGTCAGCGCAGATTTGAAAAGGTTACCATAACACCTTGTCATCCCTCTATTCAGGCACCAGTGGGACCCGTTATTGAATGCTAGCTTGATGCTCCAGCGTTAAGTCGTGTTTACCCGATGGGCGGCTGTGGCTCAGAGGTAAAGAGGGTTGTGCAGTAATTGGAAGGTTGTTGGTTCGATCCCCAGATCCTCTTGCTGCACATAGAAGTATCCATGAGCAAGATACTGAACCCCAAATTGCTCCCTGAGCATTGGTGTGTGAATGAATGAGTTAGTTTCTGTTTGATGGTTTGCCAATTGCTAGGCAAATCGCTAGGCAAACAGGCGCTGAATGTGTGAGTCTGAGTGTAAAAGCGCTTTAAATGGTCAGAAGACTAGAAAGGCTCTTGAAAACGAAGTTGTAAATCTGCTCTAAGATGTCAGTGGGGGAAATAATGTTAATGTATTATGCAAATTACTTTATTTGCAAAAGCGCATCTCTATCTCCAGTGTCTGGTTGATTAAGGGTTAACAAGTCCGTTTTCTGCCTTTGACAAATATGCATCAGCCAAGATGTGCAAAATATAACCAGGAAACAATTGTGCATCCCATTAGCATTGGCTCCATCTCTCCATGTGTGTCTACAGTAATGACCTCCTACAACCATCTGGCAGACAGGCCTGACGGGTTTAGCACTTACAACTTTATCCATCAGTTTCCAGGTTTTCTCCACAGTCCGCCGGTCGGCCGCCGCCTGTTTCGGTGGCCCTACAGCATCGTGGATGGCATCGATGAAGCCTAAAATCCGACCCTTATTTCGGTTTGGTCCACGTCCGCCAGGGTTTCGGCCACTCAGAGCGGTCGCCATTTCCTATACACTAAGGCCAAAAAGGAATGAGTGCAGTCAGTGATTTCTGTCAGTTACTGACCTTACATGGTAAATAATACATGCTTCATATGTCTAGAGCAGTGGTTCTCAACATGGGGTCCGGGATTCCCGGGAGTCCTGGGGGGGATGACCAGAAAAACGGGAAATATTTTAATTTCACTATTATTTCTTTGAGCAGAGGTTATCCCAATTAGAGAATGTAAAAGAATGACTGTATTCATAGGTCACTGTTTCACTGTTTATGTGCCAATCTACATATAGTCAGTTATGGAATCGGGGGGAATCTAGAAAAATATTAATTTAATCATAGGCGATCACATTTGCTTTGAAAAGCCACCAAACAAAGATATTTAAACTAAAAAATATTACATTACTGTGCCACATTACATGTCTTTTTTTATTCAACTTAAACCAATCATTTAGTCTACAATATGGCCACAACAGATCAATACATTATATTTGTTTATTTCCGTCTGTGTTTTCAGACGGAACAGAACTTTTACATTAAGCAAAACAGAGCTGGATCTTTTTGGTTTGTTAACAAAACTAGGTCTACTCTCTCATGACTGTTTCTCCCTTCAGTACTGTTCAACAGAAACCTGAAAGGTCTCCTTGTGTTTGACTGATGCTGAACAGGCTTGTTTGTGAAGGGGGCTCAAGGACCATGACAGGTCTCTGAAGCTGTCCAGAGGGCCCCCAGTGGAATACTTCAGTGTTATTATATTTACAAGAGCTTATCAGAGATGAGAAAATGTGGCAGTATTCGCATTAGACGCGTCATCCTCCTTCATCTATACAGTTAAAATGCTTTAACACAGGTTGGGCTTCATTGTTGTGTTCATACGTCTTCTTGGTCCTGGACATGGCAGTTTAACCACTGCCTTTACGCATGCTAACGTCCACTGATGATCCTGTCATTTAGACATTAATAATTCATGACTTAACTGCAAAACTGTAGCCAGATTGCACAAATCAAACTGCTCATACTCAATGTGTTTATCAGTTGGGTGTTTATTGATTGTTAGTTTACACTGCTTATACAGTGTGGGACTCTGCTGTTGCTCGGAGTTTTGCTCTTATAAAAGAACCATCCTAGAAACATACATTTTGTTTCCTGTGGGTTGATTTCATAAGCGACTCTGCCTGAGCAGCAACTCGCACAATCCCGTGAAGCCTAGAACAACAGATCCCCGTACAGCCTGTTTTCAACTCACACGGATTGATAAAAAAACAACAACAACAACACAAAGTCCTAACTTGCCAACCCACCTGGGAATGTCTGCTGGGATCCCCGCTGAACTCGGTCCACATCCAGCGCACAGAAATCAAGGAGTGTCCAAGTGTCCGGAGGAAGAGAATGGCAGAAAGTGTCCCGCGGGTTTAATCCGTCACCTCACTGCAAAGCGTCCATATTCCACAGCCGCCCGATAAAAGCTGCCCCCAGCTGCTGGCGGAGGAGTTAGACAAACGGAGCAGGGAGGTCTGTACACTATGTTTTGTACGGTGACATCAGTAGAAAGTTAGCTGTTATATAAAACGCCACGTCCGGTTGCGCATTTCAAAATAAAGCCTCCGCTGATAAACATTTATACAGTAGATTAAATTAGCATTTTTCAAGTATAAACTCTTCTTTTATTGAACTTCGTCGTATTCATTAAGTGTTTAGGTTAATTGTGCTGTTCTAATCTCCCCAGCATTTCTCTGTTTCACCTAATAGTTGTGCTTTTTTTTCCTTTAACACTGCATTCGGTCACTTTTTATAAAGATAGCTTTTTGTCATTATTGCTGAAACTTTCACTATGTACTGACAGTTTTACATGAGACAGATAATCAGTGAAAAGATCAGGTTCCTCTGGCTCATTCTTAATGGTATTTGCTAAAATCAGGCCTAAACCAAAGCAACCAATCAGAGCCAAGAAAAATAGAAAAACGATTTGGTTTGAAGCTTGAAGATTGCTGGTTGTTGAGTCTCATTCCCAGACTTCCAAAGCGTCTGTATTTGACGCCCTGGGAATATCTTTCTTGCCTCTGATTGGTTATTTTCGCCCAGGGCCGGTGGATTCTTCCAAATGCACTATATCACTTTGCAAATGATATAGTAAAAGTTTCAGAAAATATATATTCATAGATAAAATATATATTAATAGATATAATATATATTTTATAAAAATGACCTATTGCAGCTTTAATTTGAAGGACAACCGGTTACTTCCTGTTGTGTCTGTCTGTGCGCTGTCTGGCTTGATGCAGCTGTTCCAGCGGTAGGAGGGTCAATGGGAGTATGAAGCAATATTTTCCAGGAACCGACCAACGCAATGACAGCAACGACCAGCCAGGCACCCATTGGCGCTCTGTGAGGCTGTCACTGACGTCAAGCAGGACAGACTTAGGAAGAGGAGCGACTTCCGGTCGCAACTCCCAACATAATAGTCTTTTTGATGGCCCCCAGGGGACAAAGGGAGGAGGGGAGCTTTTTAATTATTCGAAAATACATATTTTTTTTAATGTATTTTTGCTGTTTTCTGAGCTTAAGACATTACATGCATACATGAAAGCCATGTACTGTATATAATAATAATAATAATATTATATTATTAAGCAATGTCTATTGCACTTTGATCTAATTCCTATTTGAAGATACATCATATCAAACCATCATGAAAACACTGAAAAAATAGGATTTAGCATATAACCACTCTTACACTACACTTCACCATCATGGAATATAATTATTAAAATCCTTCACATATCTTATTTTTTGTATTATTGTGACCCTATTTCCAACTTAGACATAAAATACATGTTCTACTCGGAAATTAATAACATGTTTGTTAAAATACACATTTCACTCAGTCCTGTTGTCCTCACATCCCCCCTCTAAAAAGTTGGGGTATTTTATAAGTAACTTGATCAACAAGAAGTAGCATCATTTGAGTCTTCTGAAGGCCATGGGAAGACCAAAAGTAACTTCTCTCACTGCATTGTCTCTATCTTTGGACATATTGTCATGTCAATATATTGTCCATATTGGACATATTGTCCTATACTTCTTCAATGTCATCATCTTTTTTTATTTTTTTAAAGATTTTTGGTAGATTTAGCATTAATTCCATGTGGCTGCAGTTCATGGAATTTTCTACAAAGATGCTAAAACCTCAGTCCTGTTACCAAAAATGCAAATCTTCAATTTATAGACCTTGTAAAAATAATTAAAATGGCCTGTGATTGTCAGTTACATATTCCAATTAGTTAAACGTTTGTTATTAAATTAAATTTAATTTTGAAAAGTTACAACATGCAAATTGTCTTATATTTGGACCTCTGAAAACACTCTGTAGAGACCAGTAGCCCAGGGATAAAGCACAATCTTTTTTAAACAATTTCAAATGGTACATTATTTTTAAACCATCTACACATTGCACATATATGCACATTTACTATTTACATACCAAATGTGTCATTAAACCTGCAGTGGGTAATTTGTATAAAAATGTATCTATTTTCTTTTATATTTGCTGAAACTTTCACTATATCGGACACCTGTGTTTACTTTATTTCATGTCAAAATTGTTGCCTGGCTCCACATGTCTGTGCCAGCAATAAGAAGAGTACTTTGAAAGTTATTTGTTGGTATGGTAATCTGTACATTAAAACTGAAGTTGTCATATTTGCTAAAAGTTTCACTATATCCTGACAGTAGTGCCTGAGGCAGATAATCTGTGAAAAAATCAGGTTCCTCTCGATTGTTCTAGTGCTGAGAAAGATGATTGATGATTGTTGAGTCTTATTCAACAATCAACTTCAAGCTTCCAACCCAAATTGTCTTTCTATCTTTCTTGGCTCTGATTGGTTGTTTTCATCCAGGTCCGGTAGATTCTTACAAATGTCAGTAGGAGCACTAGGAGGAGCCAGAGCAGCCAGATTATTATTATTTTTTTTTTTACAGATGATCTTTTCTTATGTACTGTCAAAATAACTCTTTTTTTTGAAAATGTACCTACTGCAGCTTTGAAACACTACTAATACATCTGTATTCGGGGGGTTTTACATACCACATACAAATATGTGGCCTCACATTTTTGTATACATTTTATTTACAGGACTTGCATTGATGTTGATGTTGAACTTCACTTCCAACTGCACTGTGTGTTTGCTTCCCATCACATCCTAAAATGCAGACAGTTTGCGCTTTTATTTTGGAGGTAAACTGGCCTTACTTCCTGTGTAATTCTTGCTTTATGCGGTTTCTTGACACGGCCGCACAGGAGAGGGACAGGAGAAGGGCCGCTCCCAACGAAAAAACACTTCTCATGTCACTGCTAACAAACGGGCAGTGTTGTACCGGAAAGAGCAGTGTGGGTGTCAGAAAAATGTACAGTAGACAGGAGTTATAAAGTTTAGAAAAATACATACATATACTATCAAAATTATAAAATGACTACAATAATTGCCATAGTAATTATGTAAAACTGTTGAGCTTCACAGACAAACTTTAGACTCTATATCAGTCATTTTACAGCCATATTATAATAATACACACACAAAATGAAGAAATTAGAGTTTCCTCATCTTTCTCTGACAGGAACTGATGATGGTTCAAAATGATGAAACATGAATGTAAGTGGATCATCTTCTTCTTCTCCTCTTGGCGTTACTTTCATCTCTTATTATCATTTTTTATTTAAGAACAGATTTATTATCTGTCACTCGTAAAAAAAGAAAATGCACATACAGTAAGTGCATAGTCTGTATACTTATGACCAGGATAAATAAGGCCAGAGGTCCCGACGACGTCAACCCGAGGGTCCTGAAGGTGTGCGCGGAGCAACTGGCAGGTGTGTTCAAGCATCTTTTTGACCTCTCCCTGAGGTTGAAGAAGGTGCTGAAGTTTTGGAAGACTTCCTTGCTGTTCCCAAAAAAGGAAGACCCAACGCTCTCACAAGCACTTTTCAGGGCCTGTCAGCCATTAACAGCTCACGGAATGTTGGATGAAGAGGCCTTTAGGAGCGACTTGTTCTGCAGCACCGTCCAGACCCCCTGGTACTGGCGAGGCGGCTGCGCTGGAGCCCTCTGCAGTCTGCGGTACCAGGGCAGACATTTGGAGTGGACGATGCCATCCATCTAGCTGCTTCACAGAGCTGGTATAGCCCACCTTGAGAAGTCACAAGCCACCGTGCGAGGATCATGTTTTTCGACTGCTGTCCAGTCGCCTTTGGGACACTGCATCCAGCCTTTCCGGCCAGTGGAAAAAGCGTCTCTGTAGATAGCAACCCTCTGGGATGAGGACCCACTGGACTAACCTCCCACTGAGCAGACCACAGTGATGTTTCAGACGTGCACCAGCTCGCTTGTCACCTATGTGAGGGGTACACGAGCAAGGCACTGGTACACCCCAGCAACTGTACGTGTCCCGTTTTCTCCCTGCCTTCCGTATCCCTCACACCTCGGATTTCTGTTCCAACTCCGGAGCGTGCCACCTACAGAAGTTCTCAGATGACTCCTCCATTGTCGGCTGTATCACAGATGATAGGGAGGAGGAATACAGAGACCTGATCGAGAACTTCATTAGATGGTGCAACCGAAACCACCTACAGCTCAACACAGGGAAAACCAAGGAGTTGGTAGTGGACTTCCGGTGCAGCAAGAGGACCCCTTCCCCAGTTGCGATTAGGGGGGAGAGGGTAGAGAGTTTGGAGGCTCATTTGTTCCATCAGCCATCAGACTCCACAACGCCACAGCACCCAGTTCCTCCAACCCCCGCAGACAAAGACTGGTTTAACTTAAACCAAACTTCTTGCACAAACTATTTATTTTTAATCTTTAAGTTTGCACATGTACAGTTTAGTTTATCAAAAAAAATGCTTAAAATATTTTGCACACCATTTTACTGCATATTGCATTAAGTGTATATATTTTTCATTTATAGTTTTATATTTTCTGTTATATTTTGTAATATTCTTAATTTGTGATTCGTATTGTACTTGTATACAATAAAGGTACATTTTATCTTATCTTATTTTATCTTAACTACACCACTCAGCTTTAAACCTCTACATCAGAACAATCATCCATGCATGTCCATAAGGAAAATGTGAGTAACTCATTTGTTAACTATGTTAATGTTTTGTGTGAAGGATTTAGTGGCATCTAGTGGTAAAGCTGCAGATTGCCACTAACTGAATAACATTCACCTTTCAACCATGTAGGAGAAACTACGGTGGGTTGGTTTGTCCGTTCTGCTACTATAGAAACATGGTGATTCAACAGGGCGTATTCATTGTAATGTAACGAAAACACAACAATTCTTGTTTTCAGGTGATTATACACCAAAGAAAACATACCTATGAATATGATATTCAATTTCTGCCAGTAGATCCTTTAAGCTTGTTTTAACCAGGGGTGGATCTATAGAAGTATTCATTGGGTGGCAAAAGGGTGGCATGGAGAATTTAAGGGGTAGCATGAATATATGCTGATTTAATCACAGGTATATATCGCATTTAGCAACATTTGCTTGAAAAAGCCCCAGAATTAAGATATTTGAAGTCAAATTAGTAAAGCAATGAATAGAAATATCTGAGGGTGGGGTGGCAGTTGTTAACAAATCTTTACATTTTTCCAAATACATGTCTTTTTTCATTGAACTTAAGCCTATCACTTCGCCTAAAATGTGGATTAAAATGAATCTAAATGAATGTCTTAAATTTTGACAGCATTTGACACCAAACTGGGCTGGCAGCTGATGTGGCTTGGCATTTTTTAGGGGTGGCAGCTGCCACCCCATTCCACCCCTCTAGATCTGCCAATGGTGTTAACCACATACCTTATTTAAGACATCTAACAAAAAACCTATTTAAAAAAAAAACACTGACTCTGAGGCAAAGGAACAAGAGGTGAAAATTACATTCTATGTAAAGCACTACCTATTTTTATCCGAAAATTTAAGTTTGTCAGGCACTCACTCACCTTCTGTTACCAGGTGCAAGTTGACAGCAGTAGTTCCAGTTTGGATTCTGTGATGATTTTTTCCACCCTAAAACGGAGAAAAGAGAGCACAAAGTTAGACAAATATTGATTAAATC